ATAATAATAATAATAATAATATAATAGCATTTGTATAGTGCATAACCCCGCTTTACAGAAAGCTCCATGCGCTTTACACTATATACTACACTATACACATGATCAGACTATTTAACTACAAAAGGCGCCAAGAGAACGTTGTCAGACTAGATCAATTTAATTTTGACGACAACGAATAAACCGCCAAGATGATGGTGCGAATGAGGAGACAGGACCTCAACCGGGTGCGGAGGGAGAACGCAAGAATCCGAAACGAGAACCACATCCTGAGGTGCTCACTGAAGAACATGCAGCGTAACCCGTACATGGAGTGCCGCGACGTTCTGCAAGCCGTCTCCGCCTTCTGCCAAGAGAAGTACCGCTCATGCCTGCACAGAGGTCCCACTGGCCCGCCCTTCGTCTGTCCCGAATCCTGCCACTGCGACACTGACGCCAACGAGAACAAATCCAGCAACGCTTGTAAGGCACTATAGAGCCTCGCACACACTGAACTTAGATATAAAGCTTTACGAGGGCAGTGACCGTGAACTTGACGAAAACCTTACTAAAGACAGATAAGAAGACCGATGGAGAACCTCTCCAAAGTTATACATTATGTCCTCACCACTGTGAGGCAATAGAATGTCATGGATATCCAGAGACAATAAAAAATGGAATGTCATGGATATCCAGAGGCAGCAGAGCATATAGAATGTCAGGGATATCTAGAGACAATAGAGAATAGAATATCATAGATATATTCCGAACAAATAGAGAATAGAATTTCTGGGCATCCAGGGGCAATAGAAAATGCAATGCCACGGATATCCTGAGCGAATAGAGAATATAACGCCGTGGATATCCAGAGACGATAGAGAATTCAATGTCATGGATATTCAGAGAAAATAGAGACTGAAATGTCATGGATATTCCTAGCTAATAGAGAATAGAATGTCATTTATATCCAGAGACAATAAAGAATCTGACAGACCCCGGTAGAGAATGTCACTGTACTGTTAGAATAAGTACGTTAAGTCGACTGGCGATACCACAGCAAGTCAGACGTCCAAATAGAACATTCCCACAGTGGGCAGCCCAAGCTTGCCACCTGCCATGTTTCAACTAAAACTTTCCCTAAGTAGCACCCCCCCCCCCCACACACACACACACACAGGGCAGAGCTACTGACTGAAGTTGTCTTTAGGCCATTTCCAAAGGTTTGGGGGGGGGGGGAGTATTATTATCATGTTCTTATGCTCAGTAGAATTGTAATTGAGCTCATTTATCAATATCATGCTCATACAGTATTCTGTAACATAATAACGTGTACATTCTTGTTTCTGGTTTGTCTGTGATGGTTGGAAATGTGCCGCAACATTGCCTTTGACCTGTGCTGATCGGACATAAAATAAGTACACTGCTCACCTCGTTCTGAAACAGTTGAATAAAATGCCTCGAAACAAAATAAAATGGTTACTTAACGTCATATTGTCCTTGGATGGAACCATATTATGTATTTGCTCGGTAAACAATATTAAACACGATAGTATCGTTGTCCCATAAACGAAAGCAATAGTTGGTGGTAAGCGGTTTCTCTGGTGTGGTTTGCGCCTTCTTTCTTATAAAGAAATCTTTCGTCCGTATTCCTCCTTCAAAATGTGTTCTTTGTGTGTTCCCCCCAGTAGTTCCTCTAATGTAATTTCTTGCACTTACATAACCTAATTGTGTTGCAAACACCCTAAAACGCTTACTAGAAATAAGGCGAAAGTAGTTTGCCTCGGGGTTTTTTCGCCTTATTTTAGTCAGTGGGTTTTTTTTTGTTGTTGGGGGGGGTTTTTTTGGGGGGGGGCGGGGGCATTTGTGTGAAGTGGGTGGTCGGCGAGTGCTCTGACGTGGCTTGCTCCTTATTTCTTGTCAAACATCTATCGTCCTTTTCGCCCCTCCTTCTTTTTTGTTTTTGTTTCTCTTTTGTAAAACCTCTAATCTTCGGCACTTATATGACCTTATTGTGTTTTTGCAAGTGCCCCCAAAACTCTGACGCGGATGGTTGGCGGGGGCTCTGGTGTGGTTTGCTCCTTTTTTCCTATCAAACATTTATCTTCTGATCTCTCCTACTTTTGTGTTTGTGTGTTTGTTACTCGCTTGTAATACCTCTAATCTTCGGCACGTTTGTGACCTACTGTGCACCTACAAGTGCCGTAATATTCTTACTAAAACTAAAATTAAACTAATCTTCTTTAATAGTTTAGTATGGGGTTTTACGCGCTCGCAACTGCATCAGGTCATATGAACTAATAATCTTCGGCACTTAGATCTATATATGACCTTATAGTGTTGCAAGTGCTGCAAAACTCTTAACCAAAACTAAAACAGTTTGTGTGAAATAAGATGTTCTGTCCTCTATGGTGACGCAGGCGAGGGCCGTGGTAGCCGCGTGGGCGTCGGCTGTGGGGGAGGTCTGTGTGGAGGGTACACGCCCAGCGGCTGGAACAAGCTCAAGCTTCTGGGGGCCATGGCGGACCAGCGCGACTGTCTACCAGACGACACGGGCTGCCATGACACTGGGGGAGTCGCCAGATCCAGGTGAGGGATTGTTTGGACAAACAGCATTGGGGAAACTCTTCCTTTTTCGTTTCTCATTCTTACAACTGTCATTTTTCTTCTACTTCTTTTTATGTTTGTCACTCGCTTGTGAACTGCTTTTTCCGGGGTGCTTTGATAGTCGAAACAGGCTTTGTGCTGTTGAGACTCGAGCGGTGAGCAGAGTAAGCCTGATTCCCCGTTTGGACTTCTCTGTTGACATCACCCCTTGGCGCTCATAATATGAGCTTATGCAGTTGCGAGCGCCGTAAAACCTTACTAAAACAAAGAACAACTCACCGAGGGCGCGAGTTCTGGTCATTGAGGGCGGGCTACGATGGAAGATGTGCCGTTACTGTTTTGGGGTACTTGTCAAAAAGAAAAAGAAGAACTGTATTGTTTATACAGAAAATTTCCCAATTTCAGTTTCTTTAACGAAAACTTTCAAAGGCAGGCGACCACATGCATTCTATAAAATATATGCGAATTCGTGTTTCTCATTTGTGTATGGTGGCTCTGAATGTGCCACAGCATTGTCATTGATCTGCTGCTGGTCGGACATCCGTGTCTACCACGTCCTTAAAGAGTTAATTAAATTAATGTCGACGTTTTTACGCCTACGTCGACACAATTTGGATAATACCGTGCCAGACCACGTGTGCTGGGACATTTCAGAGACCCATGTTCAGAACTTTTTAAGGATCCCCAAGCAGGAGTTGAGCTTTTGCGTGCTGTCAGCATCGCTGACTGCTTATGACACCACAGCGCCAGAAGAGAGAGCGAGAGAGAGAGAGCGTGAGAGCGAGTGTGTGTGTGTGTGTGTGTGTGTGTGAGAGAGAGAGAGAGAGAGAGAGAGAGAGAGAGAGAGAGAGAGAGAGAGAGGAAATTTAGATAATCTGGGAGGTGGGCTTCGGACCCTGCCTGTCAGGGCCAACTTGGTCTGAGAAGAATACAACGTCCCAGCAGAATGGCCGAGATACTCTATAAAGATTTTCCCCCACTCCGGAATCGAACTCGAGTCTCCTGCGTGCAACAGCGAAGTGCCTAACCTCTACACCACAATCACTGGTTTGATGGGTAATGCCAGAAGTATACTCTTGTCTGGTGAAGGAAAAAATGAAAGAAAAAAGGTTGATTTACTCACCTTCGACTTTGGTAAATTTAGGCTGTGTACTTACAAAAATCAAACAAAATACACACACATTAAATAGAAGGTGCTTTTCTGTGGTTTGCTCCTCCTTTTCTATCAAATATCTATCGACCTCATCTCTCCTTTTCTCCATAACAACTGTCTTGTAACACCTCTAATCTACAGCACGTACATGACTTAATTATTGTATTGCATTTGCCATAAAACTGTTACAAAACCTAACTGAAACTGATCGGCAGGGGTAAAATGGTGTCTTCCTCTACTTTCAATTTTAGGCCAGAAGCCAGAGGGGCGGACAAATCGGAAACAAGATCTGCATCTGAAGGCACGAGCGGCGGTGAGCGGTGAAGACATTAAAGTTTCCTCTCTCTCTCTCTCTGTCTGTCTCTCTGTCTCTCTCTGTCTCTCTCTCTCTCTCTCTCTCTCTCTCTCTCTCTCTCTCTCTCTCTCTAATCTCACTGGCGGGGTGCTTACAATGAATTGTAAAACGAACAAACAGGTATACAAACAAACAAAGAAAGAAGAAATAAAGTAAAGTCGTTGAATGTTATGGTGTTCTCAGTCTACTTTAAGTCTATAAATGGCGTGGTTTGTGCTGCTGTTTGCGAAAACAGTTTCCTTCCAGATTGTTCAGAGGTTAATAGACCTCTCACAACGTCCGTCAGATTGCATTTACAGACAAACAAGACGCTAATAAAGTAATATTGTGATGTATTGTTAAGAGAGAGTAACTGTGTGTGGTTGTGATCGTTATATTATGCGAGTTGTGTATCACTTGACCAGTGGCGGTGGGTAGTGAAGGGCTCACGGGCTTGAGCCCCTACCCCCTCCCTAACCACAACCCCAACTCTATCCCAAAGTAAATGAAAGTTTCTCCATAACGAAATAAGCAGTTGAAACTGTTTTGACCGCACGCAATGAACACAGAGTGATCAACCTGGCGGCTTGCTCGCTTATCCAATCACTGTTGTCACCGCTTACAACTATAGTAACCCAGCAGCCAATCAACTGTCTTTAGGGCTCAGCGAAGATTAGCCCTTTTCCCACAGACCGTCCTTAATGAAACTCTTCTCGTAAAAAAGGTAGAAGACTGGGAAAAAAATAACACTGTACCGCGGGCTCACGCTCTCCTAGCCCTGGCAATGGGGTGAAAGTTTACGACACACTTTCCCCCACTGACACAGATACCTGTGCGCTCATTGGTTCTTTGTTGGGTGCGTTCAACTTTCTCGACTACACGGCACACTAATCCAGCTCATAGAAGTATTATGTTTGAAGTGCGGTGTGTGCATGTTTGTGTTTGTGCTGCTGAGATTTAACAGTTATAAATCAGGTCGAACTACACATGTACTTTTAAGGCAACTCTTTCATCACACGAAAACTAATTAGAGGAAATTTGAAGGTAAATCGGCTTCGTCCCACCATAAACAAAAATTTAACTAAGAACAAAGAGATGGAAAACAAAGGCAACTCTTCTCGTTTGAATGGTTCTCAAACTGCCGTGGCTCACCGTGAGTATAGAAAAATCATTACTGTTTAGTTCTTATTGCTTGCTATTTGGTGGTAAAGAACTGGAAGCAACCTAAGCCCCACCCAAATTTTGGTCCACCCACCGCCACTGCACGTGACCATTAAGATGTGTTTTTCACGTGATCACTCTCGAATCACGGCAGTTCAGAATAAACTCTCGAGCAAGTAGCAAGTGTCATGTTTAAGATATTGTATTGGCGACAAGGAAAATTCGAAGTGAGCTGGCCATGGCGACAATCGTTCAGTGCATGAATTCAATGAGAAGGAGGATTCGGGGAAAGAATAGATCTATCTCGAAAGATTAGAACATTTCTTTTGTGCAAACAGGGTGAGTGACGAATCTTAGAAGAGAGCCATTCTTCTCAGTTCAGTAGGTGCAAAAACGTACAAGTTGCTAACCAGTTTAGTCCCGCATAGCAAAGCGGGAGATCGTTCTTTTGCTGAGATAGTATAAGTTCTACAGGACCATCACAATCCTCGCCCTTCCAGTATTGTTCAGCTTTTCAAGTTCTATTTTTGTGAGAGAGCCCTCGGACCGTCCATGAGATACTACGTGGCTGAACTTAAGCGTCTCAGTGAATATTGTGAATTCGAAGATAGAATGGAAGAAATGTTGAGAGACTAGTGTGTGGCATAAACAACAGAAAAATACAGCAACGTTTGCTTTCTGAACGGGACCTAACGTTTAAGAGAGCTTTGGAAACAGGGCTGTAAGACTCATCAACCCCATATGCACTGCGAGCTAGCCTTGAAGAGGAACTGAGCAGGCTCAAGTCAGACGGTATTATTCAACCCTGGAAATTCTCAGACTGGGCAACACCCATCATCCCGGTATCAAAGAAAGACAGTACTGTGCGCATCTGTGGCGACTACAATACAAACGTTGAACACGGTGGCCAAGAACGACAGTCACCCTATTCCCCGAGTCGAGGACCTGGCCAACGCTCTAGCCGGAGGTGAGAAATTCACAAAACTTGATTTCTCAAATGCCTATATTCAGTTACAGCTGGACGAAGAGTCCAAAAAGCTGACAACCTTCAATACCCACAAGGGATTATTCACTTATCAGCATTTGTGCTTCGTGATTTCAGCGGCACTGGGCATCTTTCAGCGCACTATGGAGAGAGTTTTTCCTCAACTGGAGAAGGTTGTTTGTTGTGGGGCACAAGAGTAATTATTCCCGCATTTCTCAGAGAGAAGGTCTTACATATAATATTACATGAGACACATGTAGATATGGCACGCATGAAAGCCCAGACTTGATCGTGGACCTGGTGGCCTCAGATAGATGCTGACAATGAAAAGAATGTTAAATCTTGCAATACTTGTCAGTTACATGGGAAAAGCACTCCCAAAGCCCCTCTTTTCTCGTCAAAATGGCAAGAATAGCCATGGAAGCAAGTGCATCTCAACTTTGCAGGTCCTTTCCAGGGTAAAGTGTTCCTGTGATAGTGACAGATGCTCATTCAAAACGGCAGAAGTTAAGATTATGAGCAAAATCACTGCTCAAGACACTATTCTTGAATTGAGAGATGTGTTCTCTTACTTCGACCTTCCTGATCAAATTGTCACATACAATGGTCCTACCTTTACAAGCTCAGAGTTTAGAGCTTTCATGAGTGGTAATGGTATCAAGCATATTACTGTGTCTCCATACCATCCGTCTTCAAACGGTTTCGCTGAGCGCTGTCTTCAGAGCTTCAAGACAGCAATGGTTAAAATACAAGGGACTAGCTTCAAAGAAAAGGTTTGCAAATGTCTCACAAAGTACAGATGCTTACCACCTACAACTACTGGATTAAGTCCAGCAGAACTTATGCATGGCAAGAAAAAGAAAACCCATTTAGATCTTCTGCATCCTATGTTGAACCAGAGGGTAACTTAGCAACAGAACGCTCAGAAAGCTTACAATGACATATCTTCCTGTGTGAGAGACTTTGGTGTGAATGATTATGTGCTTGTCAGAAACTTCAGGATGAGAGGGGGGGAATGGTAGCCAGGTGTGAATGTTGAAATAAGGGGGCCCTCTTTCATCCTAGGTCAAAACAGCAACACGTGGTATTGAACGCAGACATCAAGCGGTTGTCCCGGTCCGACATGATTGATCATCATGTACCTGAGTACAACCTGAGCAACTATGATAGAACAGATGGGCAAGTCCTTCGTGATCACGAAGAACAACCTGAATACAGGACATAACAACTACAGATAAAAAACATGTCTCAGTTTACTCGTAGAGATGCACCATTAGTGCCAGAATCTCAGGTTACTCTTGGTGATGCATCTATTGCGGCATCAAAAAAGGTCTCGGATCCCGAGCCTACCAGTCTTCCCGCACCAAAGCAGGAAGTAGGTTTAAGGCGTAGTACGAGGACAAGAAAATCCCCAGACAGATTAGTCCTGTAGGCATACTCATGGTATAGGAGCCTATTGTTCTTGTGCATGTATCTGTTATCTATTTGTGGTTGCCGAATTTTGCTATTCAAAAGGGCTTTTAATGGTTGCATCTATCGACATGCAGTTTTCGCCAAAAGATTCTTTAAAATATTCTCCAGATCATGACGCCCTTCGTTTTTTCAGTTTTGAGACAGTTTTGCTGCAAAATGCTAAATTTCTTTATTTCGTCGATCGCTTTTGTAGACCGACGCTTGTCTCTGTAATAATTTTAGAAAATCCGCCAGGTTTGTCTATTTCAAGTCGTACTTCCTTTCGATACTATCGCGCATTGTCGCGCAGTAATGAACACTGTTTTAAGTGTGCGACCCGTATAGATCTAGCCTCATACTTTCTTTTTTTAACCAATGACTTTCAGTTAATATTTATGCACCCATCATTCCTTTCATCGAAAGGGGGCCCAGCAAGTACACTACTATACACTTACGATTTGCATTGTTCAATTCATAAACATGTTGTGACTGTTGCCTTAAGCTATCCTTCCATCTGTGTTAATACTGTGAGGAAGTTGTTTTGAGTAAGGGGAAGGGGTGTGATTTATTGGGTAAATTCATAGAAACCCTCCCGTCTCATAAAGGGTATTGTTTTGTAGCTTTATTTAGTTTTTAGGGCCCTGAACACGATTTTGGCATTGAAAACCGTCTCAAATGGTTAGTTTAGATGTTACGGCACTTTATTTCAGGGGGGTCTCCCCCATGAACCCCCCCCCCTTCCTCATTACTGCCCTACTACACAGCTATTACGTACTCACACGTCAGGGGGAGACCCCCTGAACCCCCCCCCCCAAATGACTATAAAAGCATGCATTATCACCCAAAAAATTCTGAAACTAAATCTAAGCCTTAGCACACAAAAAACTGATCTTATTCGTATATCCGACGGCACTAAAGTGGTGAAGGAGCTGACTTCCGGTAGTGGATGTGACGCGAAACGGGAGTGCTTCTATAAAAAAAATACCATTTATTGTTAAGAGAGAGTAATTGTGTGTGGTTGTGATCATTATATTACGCGAGTTATGTCCTTTATGTCAGTGTGTATCACGTGACCATTAACGTATGTTTTTCACGTGATCTCTCACGAATCACGGCAGTTTAGAATAATCCCTCGAGCAAGTAGCACGTGTCGTGTTGAAGATATACTGTATATAAATTATATACTGTAAGAATCTTTACTTTGTACTTGGTTTGTTTACGTTTTAATGTGATATTACGCATGCAACAGCGTTTTAGTCCCTAGTTGATTTTAGCTCCTATAGTTTCTTTTCCTTTTAAGATCATCAAATCGCTACTCAAGCCACTCTTACTCATGCAATGACTTGTACTCTTGTAGCATCCTGCATTTCCCTTAGAAATCGATTGAAAGAGCTGAGAGAACATTCAAAAATGCTGGAGGAAAAAAAAAATTAAAAATTCGCAAGCACCAGTCAGCACCGTCTGTGACCGGTGCAGCGGAAGTGACATCCGTGTTGCGCCAACCTTCCCCAACATAAACATAGCATGTTCCTCTCTTGTCAGCATGATCCATGTCGAACTTGCCACTGGCTACATCAGAAATGTCTAGATCATGGAGTCGTTCTTTGACGCTGAGGGTTTGAAGGCAGGCGAGGAGTTGGGTAACGACTATTGCGACAGACGTTTGACCTTTTCCCATCAGAATCAGGGAAACCCTACAGATTTAAGTTTCGGCCTGTCCTCCATAATCTCCAACACATCGAGTGGCGGGCACACGTCGTCTGGTTACGCCGACTCCAGTTTCGCTGACGAACGAGACGAGCTGACGCCAACAGGTAGACAGAACATTCCAGACACTTGTGTTGTCAAACGTTCAAAGACTTCCATATTGAGACAGAAGTTACGACTAACAAGAGTTTCCTCGCGGAACCGATCAGCAAACAGTATTGGTCTTGGTAGCAAGCCAAGATTCAGAGCTTCTCTGGTAACTTCTGACCAAGTCTGTCGTACCGGGTATGCACAGAAGTCAAGTCACGCGCACAGATCACCGCCAAGGTGTACTACAGACGAGGAGTGTGTGGATTTCTATATAGAGAAATACCTCCCCTTTCAACACTCTCAACAAAAATGTCGTTCGTCCATTAGAAAGCCCAAGGTTGATAATTTTATCTCTGGCAAAGAGAATGTCAAAGGATACAAGAGTGACAAACGGACCAGAGGGAGAGATCAAATTGAAGTGTGTTCAGAGCTAGAGACGGAGAAGGCTAAATACAAGAGACGACCGTTGTCGGCTTCTGAATGCCGCAAAGTGGGCAAGGCAAAACATGTAGGTCGGCGGGAGGCGAGGGGAGACTACCAGGACGGGAAATCCAGGCGGCGCAGATGGCGAGCAGATCACGTTAGCGATGAATATTTGGCCAAGTTAGATGCATGTCTCGTCAGTAAACCCTGTCAGATGAACAGGAAAAACAGAAGTTGGTCAGAGCCGCGCTGTAGCAGTACTTCCAAAACCTTCAAAGCTATCATTGATGAAGTTGTATCTTGTCAGGGGGCGAGTTCTCAGTTTGTGAATAAGCTCTGGGGACGTGGGAAGCATGATGGTATTGCGGTTGAATCATCTCTTGTTGGACATAAAGAAAGTAAGACCCGCGCCATGCACCCCGCAGCCTATAAAAAAAGAAGTAAGTCAACGTCTGTCAGACGCGAGACTCTGTTGACAAATTCACGTGACTGCTCCAGTGAGCCGTGTCCACGGCCAACCATCGTTCCCCTTTCCGGAGTTAGTGCTCATAGCAGACAAAGAGCTCGTAGGAGGTACAAGAGGTCAGAGTTCCGGTATCCACCCAGAAGGGGCGTACGGCTCTGTAAGACTCCCACCGTAGCCGATTTTGAACTTCCCACCCCAACAATTGCGTCGCTTCTAAGATCACAGTTGTGTCAAATGTCCCAGCCGGCATCCAGAAACGGGCAGTCTGCACGAGGCACCGTGACGGTGGGGAAGACTTCAGCCCGGGGACGGAGGCAGCAGAAGGGGCAAGAGCAAACACAGAGAGGTTCCTTGACCGATCGAATGGACATGCCTGGTCGTGGAGCTGGGCGTAACTCGGACTTTGTGAACTCAAGTGGAGGTTCAAATAAAGCAAAAGCTAACCCTAGTCGAGAATTGGTAAATCATGTCTACATCCTGAAATCCTTGCCTGAAGACATAACACCCAGCGAAACAGAAACTGTCATGAAGTCTGTGAAATCTATCTGTCAGAAAAGAATTTGTTCTGCTGACAGATGTACACGCCCCTTTGCATTTCACAGATCTTTCAACAGGAGACATAGATCTAACCAGACAGTGAAGCCAGGCTGGGAACACGACGTAACAAGTGAGCCCAATCTGGGCTCAACCTCGCGACCTGGTAGGGCTATCACACCGGTGGACCGGTCTAGAAAGGAATCAAATCGGAGGGGTTGTGCAAGGTTGAAAAGTAAATCGCCGACAGAGAGCGATCGTAACTGTCACTCGAGAAAAGCTGGCGTTCAGTCCTCGACAAGTTGCTGTACAGATCGGGGCGTCCCCGCCGTGCGTAAGTTTGGTGTTGAGGGAGAACCTCGGCCAGCCAAGGAAAACACAGAACATATGGCAGGGGCAGAAATGCGCTGCAAGCAGGGAGGATGTTCTTGTCGCAGCTGGAATAAACACTCAGTGAAGCAAAGTGACCAGAAAACCAGTGTAGGGATTCAACATGTTGAGGTTTTAGAGAAGAAAATTACTAGCAATGAGCCTCCTGATGACAGCCTGACATCCATGAAAGACGTGAGCTTGCAAACGTCCCTCGTCAGTACCAACAATGTTGAGGGGGGGAAAACCTGGAGCTTATCCCCTTCTCAGATCATGCACGAGTCAGGGGTTTCCGTGTCAAACTCCAGCCACCCTGTCACAATACCTGGTGGTCAATCGCCAGTAAATGGACGTGGCTGTTCAGAAAGAAAGAACGCTGTATCAGACCGAGCAGGCATCGAGTCCAAGGATAAGTGTGTTTGGAAAAACGGTAACACTTTTCTGACTTCAGCAGCTTACGGTACACCCCGGGCAGTCCGGGCCGTCCGGGCAGCGCAAAGGACACAGACACACGAGGGAGGCTTGGGAGAGACGCCACAGTACAAGGGTTGGCAGGTCGCTGGGTCAGGGAACGGGGTGGCTGCATCGAGTGGTCATTGGTGTCCACTCGACCAGACACATGCCGCCATATCGGTGAGGACCCCACCGGGGGTCGTTGGCTCAGCATTCCTCCCACCGTGTCCACACGAAAAGGCAGAGGATGTGATCAGCGTCAACTTGAACGACGAGAGACACGAAATTCTCCAGATTCTCAGTGACTCTAGCTCGGGAGGAACGTATAATGTACAGACTTCCTTGAAAGACAGAGATAAAACGCGAACCAACAATCCCACAGTGAGAGACAAGTCGGATCCCGTGATGGCTGTCACTGTTCCTGGCGTGCCCGTGGACAATTCAGCGCGGGGCGGGGCCGGGACTTGTGCGGGAGGGGCGGACGTCAGCTCTGATTGGTTCAGCTCTCTCCACACGGAAGTGAACCTGGGGGATCTGTCGGGTCTGTCCACAGGCACCGCCCACACCGACACGTCTGTCACACTCAGACTGGCGGATCTGAGGCCGCTCACCGAGCTGGACTCCTCTTTCAGCAACGCCAGCACGGCAGATTCAGCCGTGAGAGAATGCAGTATAGGAGAACGCATTGTTCAAACCGCCGATGATCGTGCAAGGAGAGAGCTCAAATGTCCGTGTGCCCCGTGCTCCAGAGTCGGCGAGGACAGAAGCGATGGACTGACAGGGAGAACCACAGTGCATGCAGATGTACTCGTGGGCCTGACTTCGGTATCAAGCACAAACCTTGAGACCATTGATGGAAGAACAATGCGTACAAATTGTTCCGAAAATGCCGTTCATTGCAACATTTTAAAAAGTTCAAATGTTTCTCCGTTTTTTGGTACTTTGGACTTTGAAAGTACTCCAAAAGCAGATAAGAACAGTATTCACGGAGAAAAGAAAAAAAACCACTCTGTCTTTCAAGGAAAATATTTCCATGAAAGAACGGGCAAACCAAACGTGCCGAATGTTCCCCAGGTTTGGAAGGAACATAACTCAGAAATGAAGTGCAGTAAAAAGGTTTCAAGTTCCTGGGAGACCGGCAAAGGGTGGTCTCCATCTCTTTCATCAAGACTTGATGAGGATACTGCCACAGACGGTCTGTCACGAGCTACGAGTAAATTTTCAACAAGAACATGTTTATCAGAAAACCGGCAAACTTCATGTGGTTCACAAAGTTCCGCCCATGTCTCCGTGTGCCTAACAGGTCAAGGTACATCTGTGTCCCATAAGACGGTTCATGATAAAGCTATCATGCTGCTCCACTCTTTGTCTCCGCTACATCCAGCAGATGTGAATACTGTATATTCGATACCAAATACAACACAAAACGAGACTTCATCTGCGACATCAAATTCACAAAGTTCTCGAAGATGTAGCACAACGGAAAATTGCAATGTTCAGGCGCAAAGCTTATCGAGGTCAAACCACGAAAATCCCACCCCGAGGGTTGAAAATACTGCTGGCTCTAACAATTCCCGAGAGGGAAAACCAGAAGTCACGGAGTTAAAGAAGTCTGGTTCCAACAACCTGGACAAAGCCAATCGCCCCTCCCCTCAGTTCAACGTCACCAAAGCCCACCGAAACATCTGCCCCGACTCGGCAGTCACAGCAGCAGGTTCCCCTTCTGGGTCCAGCAGACACATCCGGCCCTCGCTTGGCCTCACGACAGACGACAAGTTCAGCGTGGAGGGCGGCGTCTCCCCTCTCCCACACCAAAGACCCGTGGTAATGAAGACCTACGCGTCCACCTCGGACACGCCCGTTCAGGTTGAGTTGTTGAAGCCCTGGCAAGCTTCAGACGGGGAGAAGACGTCCCCTCACAGTGGCCCCCAACGACTGCAGTCAGGCCGATCGACGAGAAGACGGTCACACGGGAACTCAGGTCATTGTTGCTTCACGAAGGGTGGGGGTGAACCAAAGTCTGGTCAACTGTCGTCTGGGCCTGGTGGCGGGGGGCGTGGCAGTCACAGACCGACGGGCTGTTTCGTTGACGGGGCACGTACCAGGAAGTCATCTACTCAGTTCCCTCCTCTGTACAAAAGTTGGCCCTCTGTGACTTCAGATGAGGATAGCAAAGACGCTTGTGAATGGGACAACTCCGATGACAACAGCAGCAACAACAACAACAACAACAACAACAACAACAACAACAACAACAGCCTCAATGATAGCAAGATCAATAACAGCTACGGCAGCAACAACAGCGACGATAAAAACAAAAACAACGACGACTACAGAAACTTCAAATACAACAGCTGCCAACCTAACAACGAAAACAACAGCGGCAGCAACAGCAACAACCATAAAAACTACAACGACAGCAACTACAGAGATAACAACAATAGCAACTATAAAAACAGCGACGATCCCAACAAAATATCCATAACTGTGGGCCCCATGACAATAAAAACTAAAACATTAACAGCAGCAAGATCAGCAGCAACCAAGACAACTACAGCAACAACAAGATTAGAAACAGGAATAACAATAGCGACAACAATAGCCGCAACTATAAACTTGATACCGGCAGCGACCTCAGCAATAGCGATGTCTTCGTTATTATTGATACCTTCGTTATTTGAAGCTAAAAAGCCCGAACATTTCTATGGCATTTTCTATATTATGTTGTGGATGAACGTGATTTCCTTTTCTCCTGACCTAACAGCGAGAGATTAAAGAAAGGTTTACTTGTTTTGACATATTGCAGCTTTGCTTTATTCTTTCTTTTTCTTTCTACTTCTATTCTCTGGGTGTTATCACTCTTGTATTAAGCGTTAACTTTCGTGGAAAAATTGTCCACTGCTCATTTAGTCTGGTCGGCATGATTGGGTCGAATCAGGTAGTCTGTCTGTTCAGAAAACAACTAAACAAACCACAAAGCGCTAACAATAGCACTTATGTGGCCTATTTTTGTGTTACATTAGTGCCGTAGAACTCTTACTAAAATTAAAAACTAATTAATATGGTTGTCTTTGTTGTTGTTGTCGTCGCTGTTGTTGCTGTTATTGTTTGTAGGTAGTGGAGCTTCTAATGTGACTAGAGAGGGTGGTTGGAGGGTGCCACTGGGAGGCCCTTCTTCTTTCCTTTCCTTCTGTTGTTTCTGTCTGTCTGCCTGTCTTACTTTTTCTCAGCACTAAATGATTGTGCCGATGTGCTTCTCCTTACAAAATCAAACAAAATGTACCTTGTTGTAACTGTCGTTACCGTTGTTATTTGTTGTTGTTATGTTGTTGTTCTTCTTCTTGTTTGTTGTTTCTTTATTCTAGGGCTCCAAATGTCACAGTTGTCACTATTCGTGTTTTTGTTACAATTTTTATTGCATGGAAAGTCATCAGTTATTATGTTGTCATATTTCTGTGACTGTGAGTGGTTGGCAGGCCATCTGATTTGGTTTCCTTTCCTTTATAATTTCATTTCTATCAAACTCAAACATCTGTAGTCCTATATTTCGAAAGGGGGGATTTTATCATAGTTGGGAACTAATCGGCTCAACTTTGTCAGCGTTTCACCCCTCTCTCCACCCCC